TGTGGCGGAAGACGATCTGAGGAGAGAAGCCGGATACTCAGACGCGGCAAGAGGAACTAGATAATTCTGCCACGTCACCTTGATATATTTTGATCTCTTAAATTTAGTTTTTAAATTTAGTTGGTTAATAAAGTAAATTATTTATCTTCGGTTGTATAAAATTGAGCGTAGCCAAAATAAAATGTTGCAGCTTGCAGTTATTGATTTTTTGTATGATTTTTTATATTTTTTGTGTATCCTATCTCTTAACTGGGGTGTTTTAAGCCCCAAAGTTAAGGGAAGGGTCAAATTGTCCCCACCCTCTGTACCCTGTATCTATCTAATGTTTATGAGATGAGATACAAGTTTGGAATATTCTTGTTAAACATTTTAAGTTTTGAAATATATACATGATGTTTCCAAAAAAAGAACAAGGAAACAGGGTAAAAATGGGTTCTCCATTTCTTTTCAATATTAATAAAGATTTTTTTTAAAACTTTATATTACAAATGAAGTTCAATAATTATTTTACCTTACAATGAAGCCCATCAGCTAACTCTACAACAGCTCTTCTCCAACCGTTTAGGTAAGCGATATTTCGGACTAAAAAAAAATCTTTTTTTTTTCAAAAATCCCGAAGTTTTTGAACTTTTTTTTTCAACAAATTATCTTTTTTTTATATTTATATCTTTGCAATCTAAAATCGGTGATCTTTGATTAAACTATAATTTTTGTTAGATCAGATTAGTTAATGTCAGGGTTCAAAGATATGGAAATTAGAAAATACAATTTGTTTTACTTTCTTTGTTCTGCCTATTTTTTTATTTTAAACATTTAGGTTTAGAAAAAAAGACAATTTGATCCTGGAAAATGATGTAGAAATAAGATTAAACTTTCTAACCACAGTAAGAACCGGAAAACTCTGAAATTGGAAGACGACTTCTAGGCTCAAATTTTGACTTTTAATAGTCCAATAAACATGAGAAACAAAATGTTTGCAGTTTTAACAGATTTATTTCCCTTAAATAGTGATTTAATAAAATATTAGTAAAGCCTTTTGCGTTAAAACACAATCAAATTTGCTTAAGCACATTGCTTCGATGTCGTCTTCCTATTCCACAGTTTTCAGATTATCACTGTATTTTCCACGTTCTTTATTTACCTTGATATTCGTCATTCAGATCGTCCCAGTTGTGAAAACCTTCAGGGCTGAAAAATCTAAAGAAACAATATCTAAATAATTAGGAAACACACAGATAATGCTCTAATCCCTATATCTTTGCAAACTTTTTATATTTCGAACTTTGATTATTAGATCTGGTATAATTCATATTTCCTTTACCTTTTCCCTCGTATAGTGTTATCCCTGCTGAATTTTACTAGTAGAGAAACTCCTTCAGAAGCACTGTTAACTCAACATTATCTACTTTAGGGGGAAGGAAAGGAGAGGAGGAAAGGAAACTCCTGTAGAAGCACTGTTAGCTCAACATTATCTACTCTAGGGGGAAGGAAAGGAGAGGAGGAAAGGAAACTCCTTCAGAAGCACTGTTAACTCAACATTATTTACTACGGGAGAGGAAAGGAAACTCCTTCAGACGCACTGTTAACTCAACATTATTTACTCTTGGGGGAAGGATAGGGGGAAGAAAGAAGGAAAAGGATAAAGAAGAAAAGAGAAGATAGGAAAATTAGAATAAGGAAAAGAAGAAGCATAGGACAAATAAGACGAATATGGAAGAAGGTAGACAAGGAGAAGGGGGAGACAAATGAGGAGAGTGGGGAGAAGAAGGAGAATGATGAGAAGGAAAATAAGGAGGATGATGAGGGAAAAGAGAAGAATATGGGAAAAGGTAGAGAGGAGAAGGGAAGGATGAAAGTGGAGAAGGAGGAGAAGGAGAAGAAGGAGGAAAAGGAGGAGGAGAAAAAGAATAGGATGAGTAGGAGGAAAAAAGGGAGAAGGTGATTAAAGTGAAAAGGAGAAAAAAGGAATCTTTAAAAAGGATGAGATTGACTATAAAAACGAATGGTATCCGTAAGAATAAAAAGAGCTACATTTACAAAAAGACGGGGTAGATAATGACCTGGGATACAGCCAAGCACAGTTTACCCCAGCCTGCTGGGTTAAAAACTTCCCAAACTATAGTTTTATCAATTAATCAATCAATCGATCAATTAAATAAAGCAATACTTAATAATTTAATCAATTGCAGCTAAGTCTTGAAATTAATAATTAACTTTTTCGATAAATTAATCCTCAACTAATTAATTAACTATTAAATTATTTAATTGTTTTATAATGTCTTTTATTCAATTTTTTTCAATATAACTGACAAAGTTTATTTTTACTTTGAACTATTTTGATTAATTGATTTTTATATTCCTGTTTTAGTTCTCTAGTTCCGTAGTTCTCCAGTGGATTAAAGTTAAGTTTAGCCAACCACCGTAGATTGTACACATGCATTCTCAGAGTTCGTGTTACCCTGTACAGTGTACATAAACTTATATATTTATCCTTCCTGTACCTGTACCTGTACCTGTACCTTTACCTGTATATTCTTGAAACTCCATGGTTTTTAAGAAAACAAATTGGTTCAACCCAAAGATCAATTACACTTGTATTTCTAGACCTAAACAAATTAATTATTTTTTATCAATTTTTTTAATAAAACCATTTTCTTACCGTGTATAGTTGAATTTACTATTGTAATAATGTTTTCCTATCTCAATTTTGTTCACCCAAACCGTTCCTGGAATCCAAAATCTAAAAAATCGGTCCATTTAAAAAATTTCTTTTGCTTTCTTTTAATGTGATTCACTCATCATCTATTATTCGAACAAATACTATTATTTTTGGAAACATATTCAAGTCAGGAAGAGAAAATTTAAAATTAGATTTGTTTTGCGTTCTCCATGAGGCCTTTTAAGGAAAAAGAACAACATAAAAGTATTTAAAGCTTTTTTGATATTCCCATTCTTAAAATTTACCTATGGTATGTTTTTTCAAGCCGATTGCGCCTATAGGTCCACCGGTCGAATTCAATTCTAACTACCAAAATAAAGGTTTTAAAAATCAATAAGTTAAAAAAAACTTAATCTTTGACTTTTAAGTCGCTCTTTTTTTTGATCATTGATCCAGAAATGAAGTCATTGTAAAATTGACAATCTTTGACCGCGGCATTTCTAGAAAGTGGTTTATGAATTTCAACAGCACAGCTGAGAATTGAAATCACAAATTTGCCATATTTTTCAACTGAATGGTTTTTTAAGACAGATTTTATTTATTGATTTAAACGCTAAACAGGCGTTTAAATTCATAAAAAAGAGTGGTTTCTAAAACTTTCCTATATAAGTTATATTGGAGACCCCGTACTTTCTGGAAAAGCAATTTGGATAAAATCTTTTAATTCTTGGATATATTTTTTATATCCTGGGGGAATATATTCTTGATTGATATGCATTCTCAGAACCAATTTCATCAAAACAAAAATTCAAAATTCTTAAACATTTAAACTTACATTTTTCTCATAATTCTTAGATTTCTAACTTTATTAGATTGAAATTACATTCAAAGGATAAATTTTGACTAAGAAAATTGAACAGTTGACCTGGAATATCAATGATATTATTTCAATTCCAGCGTTAATGATCAAAAGTATATGATGGTTTTATTTCTAATTTTTGTTTGTTTGATATTACATGCATCATATTTTTTTTCATTAAAAAAAAAAATGTTCAAGCAAAATGGGCCTGTTTACACTGCACAATTGCTATGTCTCATGTTCATTAGACTCTTTCAAGACAAAACTTGAGTCTTAAAGCATACTTCCTATTCCATAGTCTTCTGGTTCTCACTGTTTATGTTATTTTAAATCCTATTAAATTGTTTTAATTTCCAATCTTTTTTCTTTGTTACCCACAATCATAAAGAATACGACTTTAGAGACGAAATCTATACTGTCTGTTTAGAGACGAAATCTATACTGTCTGTTTAGAGACGAAATCTATACTGTCTGTTTAGAGACGAAATCTATACTGTCTGTTTAGAGACGAAATCTATATTGTCTGTTTAGAGACGAAATCTATACTGTCTGTTTAGAGACGAAATCTATACTGTCTGTTTAGAGACGAAATCTATACTGTCTGTTTAGAGACGAAATCTATACTGTCTTTTTAAATACGAAATCTGTACTGTCTGTTTAGTGACGAAATCTGTACTGTCTGTTTAGTGACGAAATCTATACTGTCTGTTACCTCCTCTTCATCATTCACCGCAACTTTAAACAATGTAATGTAAAAATCTAATTTTGAATGAAATATATAAATTGCTGATCCTGTTTCCTATTCATTCTATCCCATCCATGGAATCCCAGAAAGAACTCTCCCGATACTATTCTCTAAAATTAAGATAAAATTAGAAAAACCTCGTCAATTTTATTCAATTTTAGGCTTGAAAAATAAATCAGATACGGCTTTAAGGATACCGTAATGAATCGGTCATCTTTGCATGAAGGTTAACTTGAAATTACGCTTACAGTCCATTTGAAATTGTGATTTTCTAAAAATAATTTTTAAAAATCCAATTTGCTAAAAACAATTTGTGACCTGAGTAAATGAAACCATAAGACCTGGTGATTCACTGAACTCTCTCATCGTCTGCATATGCTCCTTAAAACAGAATGAAGGAAAAAATAATTAAATTTATCATAAAAATGTAGAATAATAAGATTAATAGATAAAACTTGAATTGAAACTTTGAGTTTATCTAATACTCAAGCCCATAAACCTATCATGTCCATCAAACCAGTTAATCATGTCCATTAAACCAGTTGATTATGTCCATTTTGTCCAAACGACAAGTGAAATTTTTTTTTTTTCAATTTCAGAGATGCATTATTATGAGAAATATGCAAAACATTATAAAAGAAGTTAATTAAAAATGTATGAAACTTGATAAACATTCTTCCCCTCCCACTGAACCCACGCTTTTACCTGATCTGACTTATAAAGATGACCGGCCAAAAACTTGGTCTGAACCAGGAGCAAAAGGGTCAACTTGGAAACCAGTATATACACACACATTCTCCAGGGAGTACCAATAAACAAGATATATTTTATTTAATCGGAATTCAAACGCGAATCGAAGCAATAGTTGAGAAAATGTCTGTTATGTCAAAATAGAGAACAGTCGCAACACTTTTTTAACTTTAAGATATGAACAAATGTTTGTTTAAAGTTAAAAAATTTCATATTTCAAATATGTATTATCCTTTGGACTCCCTTCACCTTTTGCAATGTGAAGTTTCACAGTCCTGTTCTTGAGGTTAGATTGACCTTCTTTATATTGAAAGAGGTCAATTTTTATCAAATTTTGAATGTTCTAACAATATCATTATGGAATTCACGATGCTTGGTATTTCTCTTCTAGCATAATGGTCTTTACTGGTTTCTCATATAAACCTTTTCAAACTAAAACTTCACACTAGCTCTGAATCCTGTTTCATGAGCTATAAAGTTCCTGTATGCATGTGCCACCTCCTGTTTTACTTAATTAGTTCCTGATTCTTCTTTGTAGAGAACTCATCTTTCATCATTTAGAGCTTTTGTTTATTTGTCAAGAACTCCTGTTTACATTTCAAGGACTCCTGTTTTTATGTCATGACCTCCTTTTTCTACGTCAAGAACTCATGTTTCTGCGGAAAGAATTCCTTTTTATACTTGAATTACTCCTGTTTTATGTCCAAACCTCTTGTTTATTTGTTTATACCTCCTGTTTCTGTTATATCTAAATAAAAACTAACAAAATTGAACCAAGTTGAAACTCGGATAAAAGTTTAAATCTTACTGTTTTTCCAGATTCTTAATATTCTCTTCAGGGAACTTGTTCCTCCAGGGTTTTCTTTCTTAATCCCCTCGGAGTTGTTCCTCCAGGGTTTTCTTTCCTAATCTCCTCGGAGTTGTTCCTCCAGGGTTTTCTTTCTTAATCCCCTCGGAGAACTTCAACTTGGTTTAGACGATTAAGTATTCTCTGTATCCAGGAGCTTAGAACACAGAGAGATAATTATATAAAATCAAATTATTATTCGATCAAAAAAGAGATTTACATCATCGTGTTTCATGGAGTTGGTGCTCCAATCTTCGTCGAGGTTTCTTCTCTACTGCAGAATATTCCAGTAATATTTTATATATATAGATATATATATATAGATATATATATATCTATATATATATCTATATATATAGATATATATATATTGAGATATATGTTGAGTATCATGGGTATTTACAGGGACTGCTAATGAAATTTGAATGCCCTCAACTATTAAAGACTTCTTTAAACAATTCACCATATTACCCACTATGAGCTAAAATATTCCGATGTAAAAATCAATAAAAAATTTGCCGATACTGAACCTGAATAGTCTTAAGTTTAAAATATTCATGTCCAAGGCTACATAAAACCGTATGTCGGTTTGTAAGGTCAAACTGTTGACACATTAAAAACGACCAGGTTCCAATGGTTACAGCAAAACTTTAATTATATGTATCCTTGTCATTTATCTTCTTATAAACAAATTATGTTGAATCACTAATTAGGATGTTACATGAAAGTCCAATTAGAGTTTGAAATCATAGGGGATCAATTATTATTCTCTTAACAAGCTTTAAACTTAGCAAAATTAAATACTATAATTCAATACATACCCTCTATATATCTAACCCTAAATGTTGGTGAAGTTATTGAGAAGCATGAGAAAGTTTTGAAAGATATTTCATAAACTTGGAAACATCCGGACAGAGTTGCATTTTAATCGAACAACAAGATTGGCTTGTTCAAACTTCATTTCATTTCTGAAAACTTTAAATGCAAAATTATAGAATGCTTCAAATAACCAATTTCTCTCGATATGATTAGGAAAATGGAGAAAATGTGGAGAGTTACAGAACTTTGTATTAGATTAGAGTTTAAATAAGAATGATCTTTGATTGAGCAAAACAGAAATTGCAATTCCAGGGAAGGATAAAGAATGAATAAAGATGAAAAAAACAATGAATAAAGGATGAATAAAGAGGATGAATAGAAAATGAATAAAGATGAAAAAAGGATGAATACATGATAAATAAATGATAAATAAAGGATTAATGAAGGATGAATAAAGGATGAGTGGATGATGAATAGAAAATGAATAGAAGATGAAGAGAGGATGAATAAAGGATAAATATAGGATGAATAAAGAATGGATAGAGGATGAAAAGAGGTTGAATTGAGGATAAATAAATGATGAATAATGGATGAATAGAGGATGAATAGAAGTTGAATAGGGGATAAAAAGAGGATGAATAAAAGATGAAAAGAGGATGAATAGATGATGAATACTGGATGAAAAGAGGACGAAGAGGTGAATAAAGGATTTATGAAATATTAATAGGGGATGAAAAGTGGATGAATAGAGGACGAATAAAGGATGAATGAGAATGAATAAAGGATGAATAAAGGATAAACGAGGGATGAACAGAGGATGAATAGAGGACGAATAAAGGATGATTAGAGGATGGATAAAGAATGAATATAGAGGATGAATAAAGGATGAATAAAGGATGAATAGATGATGAATAAAGGATGAATAGAGGATGAATCGATGATGAATAGAGGATGAATAGAGGATTAATTAAGGATGAATAAAGGATGAACAGAGGATAAATAAAGGATGAATGGATGATGAATAGAGGATAAATAAAGGATGAATAGAGGATAAATAAAAGATGAAAAGAGGATAAATAGATGATGAAAAGTGGATGAATAGAGGACGAATAAAGGATGAATGAGAATGAATAAAGGATGAATAAAGGATAAACAAGGTATGAACAGAGGATGAATAGAGAACGAATAAAGGATGGATAAACAATGAATAGAGGATGAATAAAGGATGAATAAAGGATGAATAGATGATGAATAAAGGATGAATAGAGGATGAATCGATGATGAATAGAGGATGAATGGATGATGAATAGAGGATAAATAAAGGATGAATAGAGGATACATAAAGGATGAATAGAGGATGAATAGATGATGATTAGAGGATGAATAAAGGATGAATAGAAGATGAATCGAGGATGATAAGGGAATTAACAAAGGATGAATTGGTGATGAATAAAGGATGAGTAAAGGATGAATATAGGATTAATAAAGGTTGAATAAAGGATGAATAAGGAATGTTAGAGGATGAATTAAGGATGAAGGAAGAAGAACAACTGAGAAATATGTAGTGAAGGTTAGGAGGATGTTTACACAGACCAAGTTTTCCATTTCTCCACCTCCAGACCTCAATATCTATCTATCTATCTATCTATCTAAGAAATTATCTAAAAAGAAACAAGATGGAAAAGCTCAAAATGAACTAACAAAATCCTAAGAACCGAAATCTATAATACTGATTGATGGAAAAAATGATGACAACAACCTGGATCCACCTAGGAAAGACGATCAAGGCTTGTCTTCAAATAGTAATTCAGCCAGGGATGGATAAACTTTATAAAATGACTCTTTTCCAGTTGAAAACCCATAACAGAAACATTTTCTTAAGCTTTATTTCTCATAATTAATACAAAAAAATGATAATCGCGTGGAAAGTTTTTTGTTTACTTTTGACGACTTGAAGGGTTTCCCCCCCCCCCCCGGACCAATGATGTAGAATATAATATTGTCCCAGATACCACATTAAGGTAAAGTGTCTGAGTATTCTCAAGAGAAACCTTGAACAAGATGAATAATTTCTCAAGTACCTTTCCTAACATACTCACAATGTGTTTCTAAACACTAATCTTACACAATAACCAGTAGAGATGTGCCTTCAGCTAGTTCGATTTTGGTAAATTTTTGCCTTTATTTTTTTAATGTCAACATTTGTTTGGCTTTATGCTATGTGAAATTTTGACCCTGATGTGTGAAAAAAAATACCCAGAAGCTATACCAAAACAAACGTGTTGTAAGTTTTTTCATTTTTATTTTGAAAGATAATGCAAAGTTTAATTAAAGCAAACTTAAACATAATACAGTTTTGAAATTTACTATTTTTTTAACGATCCATACAGATTAACATTTCTAATGGATAAGTAGACAATCCCCCATTCTGCCCCCCTCACATGGAATATCTAAGGTTAAGCTTAATAATTTTATAAAACATAGATAGCACTGTTCTACTTTATCTAAAGGATAATTCTTATTCAATATTGATAATCATATTGGGTCTATACTTCTTTATGTAACCTTTAACACAGGAATACCCACAGATAATGAGTATTCAAAGATGACCCTTGCAGCTCTTGGAATACAAAAGAGGCTGGCGAAAGGCAGAATATTATTTTTAAGAATTTATAATAAACAAACAAAACAAGTATAATTTGCGTAATTCAGCTTGCATTATGATATATCTTTGAATAAATTTTGTAAACAATTAATAAGTAATTGCGCTCTTAATCTTAATGCATTTTACGTTAAAAATCTCTCATTTTTGGTTTTATTCAAATTTTAGATTTCTTGAATTTTTAACGTTCAATTATAAAATATAACGTTGTGTTAAATAAACTCGAATTCCAAAATACTAATTCATGATGTTATCAATTTAACTTTTATAACATTTTTATATATTGTTTAAAGTACTTCACATTCTTCTTTTTTTTCCTTTCAAGTATTTCTTCATGAAGAATGTGCAACTCATTGAAAGTAAGAATGAACTCTAAAATAAAGATTCGGTTAGGTTCTAAACATATCAATGTATGGTTATAACAAGTTTATTAACCCAGTGTACGCTAAGAGCCTATGTGGTTTTTTGCCCTATTTCCAATTATCGGTTCGGATTCAACTAATAAACGATATTACATACTTTACTAATCATCTACCGTAACCTTGATCTTATTTCTTATATCTTAAATAGAACTGTCTGTAGTAAATACCTTACTCCAATAAGCCCCACTGTACTACCTTGGTCTGTAATACAACTATGTATACAACTCTCTGTATTTTCTAGCCAACATCTATCTTTCAAGATATACTTTAGCTCACCGTCAACCGTCCATTGTCGTCCAATGTCGTCTATGGAAACATTTCTAAAAAAATATCTATATTTTCATAGGATTGATACATATTGTGTAATAAATTATGATATCATATGTATATTTACACTGAAGGCAGTATTGATTTAACCTTTTTTAATGAAACGTTTTTAGTTAAGGACACAAGTGAGATTTTTAAAGTATTTTTTCTATACGATGAAATTATACTTAAATGGAAAATGGAATGAAAAATCTGGGGTCTTTTATGTAAATCTTAGTCTACAATGAAAATCTGGGGGGTCTTTAACGAAAATCTTGGTGTCTCTAATGAAAATCGTGGGGTCTCTGACGAAAAGCTAGGGCGTCTCCAATGAAAATTTGGGGGTCTCCAATGAAAATCTTGGTGTCTCCCAAAATAGGGGTCTCCTATGATATTCTGGATGTCTGCAAAGAAAATCTGGGGTCTCCAATGAATTTCGTGGGGTGTCAAATTAAAATCTGGGGTCTTGATCTAAAGCTGGGGGTTTCCAATGATAATCTGGGGGGTCTCCAATAAAAATCTGGAAGTCTCCAACGAAAATCTGGTATCTCCAATTATAAGTTTGGGGTCTCCAACGAAAATATGGGGTCTCCAATGAAAAGATTGCGATCTCCAATAAAAATTCGGGGGTCTCCAAAGAAAATCTATTGGTCTCTAAGAAAATCTGTGGTCTTTAATGAATTGATTTTGGTCTCCAACAAAAGCTGGGGGTTTCAAATGATAATCTGGGGGTCTCCAATGAAAAGTTGGGGCTCTCCAACGAAATGGTCGAAATAGCCGACCATTACCCCTAATGCTCTATATGGCAGAAACAGAGCATTACCTCCTAATGTTCTGTTTAATAAGGCCGAGAAAGTGTTTCAGACCCCCAACTGTCTAATGATATAAAAAGTATCAAATTTTATCTTTTTCATTTTCTTTTTATGAATATTTTGAGAAAATGTAAACAATTGGAATAAAACAAAAACAGTTTTCTCGTGTACGTTTTAATATTTCTTTATTTGTCAAATTTGCTAGATCCAATTCAAAATTTATTTTTATGCTAATGTAAAATATATTAAAGGAGGGAAGTATATTTTACCCTGCCTATAAGCAGGAAGTTAAGTTTTAACAT